CCCCTATGAGCATTAAGTAGTATTACATCCAGCTACCCTGAGCTGCCACATTCAACAACTTCTGCTGTTCAATTCAAATAGGCAAAAAAATTAACATAATTTTATTAATGAGTCATTCAGAATTTCATCCTGTTTTCTTTTAAACCAGATCTTACATATTTTTTATTTCTGGTTGACTCCAAAGACCTGACACTGGGAACATACTTTGATTTGTCTATTCTCTACCATGATATTGTTTTGTTTCCCCAGCCAAATGATTAAAACATTTTTCACAGGAGAATAAATAATCATATGGGTATTCCCTTTCGTCTCATTTTTTGTGAGTGAGCTGAACATATATAGCAAAAGTTTTCCCTGCCAGACAACATTTTGCAGCAGTTTCACAGGCAGTTTAAGGCCATATAAATGAGATGAGCCATTAAGAGAACAGATTCCTTCTGGCCCTTCACTCCAATGCTGCCACAGCCATGCTTGAAGCCAGTGGCTTCTTAAAGTGACTCTGTGATTGTGATCAAAATGGAAAAAACCCATGCTTGCCTTTTTTTAACCAGTCTCACAGTTCAAGCTGATAACTGGTCACTCAGCTTCTTTACTCCTCACTTTCCACACCCATAACCCATGTTAACACTTCCATATACACAGGTGGTTTCATTAAGTTTTCCCATGAACAGTAAGAAAATCTGTCTGAATTGGAAAGATGTAAGGAAAAAGTGGTTTGGATCTAGTTCACAGACCTGTGCTAAGAGTATGGAAGATGTAAAAATAGATTTACAGCTTAATTGTACACTGTACCTCTAGGATTAAATCCTCTAGGTATCAATCCAAAAGCTTCCATCTCAGGAACCTCATTTTCTTCATCATTGGAGTAGTTTGGTGGGATGGCTCTTCTCCCATTCAAAGGAAGTTTATTCTCCTCATTGGTGCTCATTGTTTCAGACATCCTGTGCTAAAAAAAGTTGCAATAGCATGAAAGAAAGAGCTCAAGGAAAAAGCAAACATGAGCTAGCATGGCACGTGCAAGATGGGAGAAGCCAAAGGCAATGTGGGGTGCCAGTGAGCTTCACATTTTTAGACTTACATAAATAAAACCAGAGAGGCAGAAAACATCAGTCTAATGATAAGTACAGCTCTCCAAGGATTGGAAGGCATTTTGTGTTCATCAAAACACATGAATAAGAGAAGAAGGAGGGGGCGGGAGAAGGAGAGGGAAGTCTAACACAGAAGTACTTGCCTAGGAGAAGCAGGGCACTAAAAACATTAGGAAGTTTCAGGTAAAAGAACTGGAAAATCTTTCACTCTCTCATCCTCCATAAAAGCATTATTGAATCCAAAAGAGCAAATTATATTTTCAGAAAGTGCATCACACACTACCTCTCCCTAATAAAAATGACATTATAAGTCATACTGCAATCAAGCCAAATATTACAGCCTACAACAGTCTGTGGATAAGTGGAGAATTGTATTTTTGTCCTTATGCACACAAACATCCAATATCTACAAGGCTAACTCCTGCACCCAGACAATACACTTTTGAAAAAAAGAGGGGGAGGGGGGACGAGAGAGGGGTGTAAAGGGGAAAAACGGAAAAGAAAAAAGCACTTATCCACTTATTTCTCTCCCACTAAGATCCTTAAGGGAAATCTTAGATGTAGGCTGATCAGAGCCTTTTTGAGCTACTCATAACTGCTTTCACATCTATTTCAGTGTAAGCATGTAGCAGTGAAAAAGCCATGCAACCCTTCTAAGAAAATATTAATGACTGAGAACAAAACTTCTTCCCAAAGCCCCTGAAAACAGCAATTTAAAATGTAGCAATTATTTAATAGAAGTAAGCTCTAAAAGTTTTTTCAGTTATCAAGGGTACCTTCTTTTCAGATAGTCCTTTTTTTTTTTTTCTTCTCCCTTACAGAATTTTTGCAGTGCAATGGAAGCAGGGAAAATGTTGGGGGCTTTTAAGTAACCTCTGTATATCCTCCTCCTTCCTGTTGCAATAGGACAATGTTGAAAATGTTGCCAAGCCCTCCCAACGCCACCTCAGAGGATCTGCCACCACAACTGGCGTGTCTTTTCTTCCTCCCTCCCCTCCCTGCCTTTCTTACCCCTACTCTGCTCACCAGGAGCATTTCAGAATGTTTGTGCTAAGGAAACAACTTGGCCATTGAAGTTTCAGTTCTTTTTGGGATAAAGTAGGAGTGTTTATGGCCCAAAAGCTTATTAAATGGGAAACTGGAGGGGATTTTCTGAGGCCCACAGTCCAAGAAGCCGTGCTTACCATGTTGCCAGTCTTTGGTGGTGTCTCTGCCTCAGGGAGCCTGTGATGCAGCTTCAGGTGCTGGTTTTCAGGAGTCCTCCCAGGCAGACACAGTGATGGTTTCCCTGCTTGGTGCTCACAGCAGTCCTTTAGAGGCTGCAGGACACATGAACTGGAGAGCTCATTGGCAGCCCAGCTTTTTCTAGAGACCTTGTGGTGTCCAGGACAATGAAGGTGTTTTGCACCACACAGCTATATTTGGGTCAAATGACCTTCAGCTCTTGCCCATGATGAAATGTGCATCACCTAACAGGTCAGGGGCTGCACCCTGTGGGAGCTTTTTAGCTTCATGTCAACTTTCTTCTAGTTTCACCAAGCTCTAAGGTATCTGGAGAATGTGTGACACCTCCTCTGTCAGACATAACTCCACAGGCCAGTGGAGTTACATGGAGAAAAAGCAATGGACAGGGAAGAATTCAGGCCTATGTTCTGCCAGATGCTGCTGTTTGGCAGTAGAGGTAGAAACCACCTACTGAGAACATGCACAGGAAGTGGAGAGCCCCTCTTGCACACATGGCACCCGCCAAGGGTACTCACTTGCCTCTGCATCTGCAGGGCAGATGAAGGAACAAGGAGACACAGGGAAGACAACTTGACTGTCTTTCAGACAGCTGTCACTTCCAGCCCCACACAAGAGAATTCTCAAACCTCCAGTGGCTAAACACCACTGAAATCAAGCCAGGGGGCAGAAAAGGAGAGAATGCTTCTCATGGGAAGCAGCAAGTAAATAATCTGGAAGAGAGGACCCCTATCCTACCTCTCTGGGGATTTGCCAGCCACAGCAAGGCAGCTCCACAGAGGTCAGGACACATGCAGAGTATGGGTCAGAGACCCGAGCTGGGCACCTTGGAGCAGCATGACGGCACCAGTAGGAGGGGTAGGGAGCTTTTCAGTGCTGGTTGCCAAGGCACAGCATGGGGCTGCAGCAGTTTTGGGGACAGCCTGGTTACCTGCACACAGGTAAGTGTTGCACTAGGCCTTCTCACAGCTGAAGGTATGAGAAGACTGCTGAACACTGTTTGGCTTGTAGCACAGAACGCCACCTGGCTGGAGGACTTTCCTTCCCCTGTCCTGCTCCCCCAGGAGTGCAAGCACCCTGAGGGGACAGATCTGATCCCATCACACACATCCTGAGCTGCAATTGCCATTGACTCACTTTTACACAGATGGGCCCTGTCGTAACCATCTGGAGGGCAAGCAGCACCCCTGGCACCGGGGAACACAATGAGCTTTCTGGGGGAGGAGGCTGGTTGCCAATTTTCTTTTCTTGCCATTATTTTTTTTTTCCCCTTGCATCTACATTTCTATGTGGAGTGTTGTGCTTTGAGCCTCTCTCTCCCACTTCCAGCACTCCAGTTCCCAAAATTGCAGCTGCTGCGACGATGTTACAAAAACTGATATAAATATTGCCTCGGTGCCATGCCTGCTGGAGGCCTGCAACACAAATAAGAAACACCGTCTCCCAAGGAAGTCATGTGCTTCCCCAAGTGGCTGCGGTGCTGTCAGAGCCAGGAGGAAAACTTTCCGTCAGAGAGAGTGGCTGCAGCAGAGCAGATCCCTGCACTCCAGCCGTCACGCCTGAGCGGGCAGCGCTTGCGGATGTCTCCCCGCGCCCAGGCACGTCACCCTGGGGCTTTCCGCAGAAGCCACCGACCACGCAGAAAGTGGGGAGGCCAAAATTTTTGGTGGCAGCGGCAGGAGTGGGACTTTGCATCCAGGGAGAGTAATGCTTTGCAGGCTGTGATTTATTTATTTTGTGGGGAGAGATGTAAATTCATACTTATGACAGCTCCAGATGGCAGGTATTTTCTCATTACCTTGACTTCTTAGCATTTGCTATCCCTTGCCTATTAGACTGCACTGGCCTTAATTTAACTTCCGTGGTTCCAACCTACTGACGTCAGGGCTGATGCAGAAGCGGGTATGGAAAACACAAAGCCTTGATTTTCCTGTAGGGCGTTATGTTTAATGAATGATGCACTGGGATGACCGGTGGAAAAGCGCTCACTTCTGCACAGCAGCCTGTGGGGAGCTGCGAGCCCATATCCATTTCTCAGAGCAGCCTTCAGATGCTCGCGGCCTTTGTCAAAGACTTCTGCAGTCACAGGCACCCTTCCCACAGCAACAGACTTTGGATGATGGACAACCCTTCCTCTCCAACCCCACAGAAAAGCCTTAAATGGCTGCAAAGCTTGCACCATAAAGGGTTATCTAAAATGTACTTTCCTGTTTTTGCCAGAGCCAGAATTGCTCTGTTCCAAGTCCTCCCATGCCAGACAAGAGTTTGCGGGGGAAAAACCACACAAGTCAGTAAAGCTTTACAGCCAGAGGAGAGGGTGTGCCAAGATCTGTCACAGGCAAACTGATCAACCAGGTGCTCACATAAATGGGTTGCTGTGCTGTGTGCCAGTGACTAGATGGGAGTGATGTTTTGCCTGCTGTAACTACACCAAGCACTCCTCGGGAACAGCTGAGCATTGTAAAGCTCTCCAACAGGGTGGTTTCATTTCTTCTTCTGTTTTTAAAATATCACTCCCATGCCATTTGCAGCGTAGATGGATGTATGAATGCACTGGAACATTGTACTACAGCATGTGCACAAGAGTACCTGCCAGGACATCACCCTCAAAAAACCAGACTCTCAACTCTGGCCTTCTATACATAATACACAGCTGTGGCTCTCTTGTCATCTCACAGCTTTACTTAGGAACCTGCACTCTTTCTTAGATGATCAAGTCTTGTCTTCCCCCTTCCTCTGCATCAGTACTTGTCTCCCAGGAATTCATGTTCCTCTTCCTGTGATGCTCTGCCTCACCAAGGCTGCAGGCAGAGTAGAGCAGATCCTAGAAGAAAAAAAAACCCAAACTAATAAAAATGTTATTTTTAAACAGAGGGAAATTTCAGAAATCTTCATTTGGCATTTTTGCTTGCATATTTTGCTTTGGATTTTTTTAGAAAACAAACCCAGTTATAATATCTGTCTGCGTGTAACAGTAGTTCTGGCTACCACACACAGAGGAATATATTTTAAGTTAATGCTGAAAACTCAGAGGGCCCAGCTCTGAAATATGGTATGTGTACACATGTCTGTATGTGTGAAAGAGGGGCAGAGGCAGAGAGAGATAAAATGGCAGCTCTTCAGATGGTAGAACATTTGGAAGGGGATATAGGGCCAGTGTTCAAAAGATATTGTTGCAAATGTTTCTGTTGCAGGGAGAAAAATACCATAGATGTATATATTCATACACATATTCTGCTAGAAAAACACAGCTTAGGAAATTTTACTCTTCTCTGGAAAATTGTTGTTGCAAACTGAAAGCCTAAATTCAAAGTGTAGATCTTTACAAGCATCTGCATCTGTGCTGGCCATCTTAGGCTCCCTTTATCCTCCACACAGATCTAGCCTAGGCAGTGATTCATCTCCTCCTACAGCAGACATGTAAATAGGTCAGATGAATCATGGCCTAAAAGTGCCTGCTCCCTGTATTGACTGCAAAGGGAGCTTGGGGTGATGGGTTTTGCCATATGTGTCTACACTGCTGATGTCTGCAGTGAGAGGAGATATATCCAAGGCTAGGTACAGAAACAGAAAAACATTTTATTTTGGTTTTCAGGCCTGACTTTCAAGTGGTAAATTATCCTTTACTTTTATGGAAATACTGCTGCAAGTCACTATCAGTGATACACAGTGTATCATTCAATACATTTTTTTTTCTATCAGAATATGTGTCTGCCACTGCCAATTATATAATATGTATTTCTTGCAGTAAGCGTCAGATTACAGTAAAGTACACATAAGCTTGAGAAAACACATACATCTTTTTATATTCATTTGTGAAGCTGTTCTGTTTCTTCAAGCAGAAATCTAACCAGACCATGTAGTAACTGCAGCAAATACTAATACTAATACTAATACTAATACTAATACTAATACTAGTGACTATTATGAACATGGAATCCGGGTTCCCACTCCTATTCTTACATCCAAATCAAAGAATTCTGTTGGTTGGACACTAGGAACTGCCCTAGTTTCTTACAGGAAGAGTAAGAGAGGAGCCAAGCAAGGGCAGAGGGGGTTGTCATAAGGGTCAATATTCACAGTCTCTAGCTAAATCTATGTTTTGCTGGAATTGAGGCCTTAAAAGATGAAAGAACATCTCTCAAAAATGGGATTAGACAACCTCTCTGCTGGCCAGCTGACCCAGAAGCTGATGGGGACACAAAGACTGTGAACCTCAGATATTTATTTCAACCCCAAAAGAAAAGGGCAGAACATCCAAGCAAAGCCTTAACTACCTAGAGACTAAAGCAGGAAAGTCCATTTTAGATGAAACATTTGTCTGAATAAAATTCACCACAGGTGCCATGTGCCTTGGCCACAGAAAGTTTCCTCTCTAAAACAATTGTTTCAGTCTTCTTAAGCCCACCTATCCAAATAAGCCCTTGGCCTGGGGATCAACCCTACCTGATCTATCAGGCAATGAGGCTGAGATAAGAGATGTAACTTGAAGAGCAGGGGAAACAGAGAGGAACAGAGTATGATTCCCATTCATAGACTATTTCCGGATATCTACTCCCTTTTGAACAACCACTGTATCTAGACACAGGCAGAATAAGCAATATATTCAATCTGGTCAGACTTTGTCTGTCATTCTTGTTATATACCCACAGAGCTGCTTGAATTCTTCCCAGTGCAAGAATACCCTTATAGTGAAGGCTGATTCCACAATACCGAAACTTTTTCAAGAAAATGACAATTGATTATGGGAATATGGTTAGTAAGAAGTTACCAAAGCATGCTTAGCTTTGATTTGCAAATTTTAGCTTTTAAGTTTAAAGCCAGGCTGCAGTCCTCAGGTAGTGGGATGTCCATGGCAAGAACAGGCTTGAAGGTAACATTAAAGTTCCTGCAAAGACCCAGCTTGGCTTTAAGTAGCTGCAGCCTAGTTCTGCACCCTGGCTGGCCACAGCCCTCAGCTCCAGAGGGGCTCAGTTTTCATGTATAGCAGCAGATGAAAATGATGGTGCTGTACCATGGCTCCTAGACAGTATGGAATTATCTTGGATACATCAAAGGCAGAACCAAAAAGCCAAAGAAAACCCAAACCACCTACAAGCAAAAGTAAAGGGTCTGTGCTCTGCATTTCTGAAGCACTTGCAGCAAAGACCTGGTACAAGACACCTGAGATGTCCCTACCTAAATCCAGTTGGACTGAGTGGGGTTTAGTAGATCCAGGCCTACTCTGGGCACAGATGAATATCCTTGTTTTACTACTCAGCTGAGAAGCATGTTCACAGAACATTGCATCTCAGCCAAGAAGCTAGACCAGACCACAGCTCTTTTCTGTATCCAGGGGGTGGTAATACATAACCCAGGCAATTCCGGCATACATAGTTAACAGTTGCTTCTAATTAATTAAGTGACATATGTGGACATGCAATATTTCAATCTTAATGTCTCAAATAATTTCAACATTACTGACACACAGTATTTCAAGTACACTCAATTACAAGATTTCTGGAATTAAAGACCTCCTAAATTTCATTAAAAGATAAAACTTCCTTTTCCAGTTCGGAACAAAAATACATTTTAAAATGCCTCAATGTCTTGTAGAACAGCTTTTCTTCTTAATACAAACACAGATGTAGTGCGTAGGCCAAACACAACAAAACGCTTTAGCACATCTTAACTTCAGTCGTGTAATTCCATCTTCAGGCATGTGCCTAAACCCTGTTATGGGCTCAACTCAACCAAACCAAGGCTGTACATTATCTGTTTGTACAGAAACACTTAAGCTGCCTGTTGAGGTTGCATTTCTGCAGCATGAAGTTGCAGTTTAACATGTTCCTACTGCAATTGCTTTTTGACCATTTCAAAGATGGTTTCCAGAGAGGGGTGTTGATTCATTTTTCAGTCCCGAGACTGACCTTATCTCTGTACAAACGAGCTGAGTAATTGTTTATTCAAGGAAATGTGCAATCTTTTGAGAAATGGGTTCAAATGTGGATTGTAAAACATTGCAACTAGTTGGTTCGTTAATGGCGGATGTTCTGGAGGGAAAAGGGAAATTGAAAGGATGAATCATTATCCAGATGAAGTTCAAAAGTGATTCAAAATTCATTTCATAATCACAGATGCGTGCCAAATAAACCCATCCAACACAAGCTGCAGGTTTTGATTTTTGTGAAGGCTGCAAGTTCTTTCCTTTGCTATTCCCACTATAACCTTTGGAGTGTGGCTAAAAATAATAAATAAATAAAAAAGTTAGAAGAAATTATTGCCTTCTAAATGCTCCATATACCTGTCTCTTTCTACAGTGTTGTGCTGCATCCACAAAATTACTGTCAATGTGCACAGTGGAATACAAATACTTTTCCCTTTGGGCTTGTAGTGAACTCATGGATGGAATAAAGATAAAAGTCAGAGCAGCTGGGAGTGTATCAGGACTGCAACTCCTGCATGCACCCACAGCAAGGTCCCTGGCTCCTCAGCTGAAGTGAAAACCATATGTTACAAAGAACAGGCATGCACAGTATTTCTCTTACATGTCCAGATTCTCTATAAATCCTGTCAGGGCTCAACAAAGTCCAAAATGAAAACTATGGTCAACAGCTGCTCTCTCCTTTTGAGGCCTATCCGTCCTCTCAAGCAATTCCACCCCTGGCGGTGTGTCCCTAGCAGAACAACCCTACCGAGTTTTAGTTGTGCTGTTTAGGCTGTGAGCCTGCAAGAAGGCATGTTAGGACAAAACTCTGCAGGCAGATATCTTGTCCTTGGTCTGTCTCTGGTCTCTGGCCCATCCCTCTCTCAGCTGTAATCTTCACAGACTTTTGCAGCTACCATAGGAATGGTACGATCTTTCACTCCTTTCCTTTCAAACCCTTTTCTTCAACAGTCTTACATTGCTTTTGATTTGCTTTCAAAACATCAATTGTTGGTTGCCGGGAGAGCATTTACTGCTTCACTAATAGATTGGAAACTCATCCGGCAAGCGGCAGTGCAAACAAAACTGGAACTGATCTGTCTTTTACATTAAATGATCATTTTTTCAGAAAGACCCTTGGGATTCAGAATGTTCAGACCTGCTGTTCAACTCATACAAAAAGAAAGGGTTCACTGGCTGTTGTTAAGATGTCTTCACCCAAGTGCATTGTTTGCCTGGGATTCCTCCTGAAGCTCTGTAGTTCCTGTAATTTACACAAATAATTCCTTAGAGATGTGTATAAAACACAGTATAAAAAGCATGTTAGGAAACTATAAGAAAAATGGTCGTAAAGTTAGGTTGAAGAAGCAGCCAATAGATTTTCCAGTAAGAGCATTGACATACTACAAAGGCATCCATTGGAATACACAGGTGGAAATGGGTTCTTTTAAAGCCATGTCCCTTAAAATGGTCCATGTCACCATCTTGTCACCATAGGAGTTTCTAGTCAAGGATAACGAGAATCAAGTAACTTGAATAAATGGTTTTATAATGACCAATAAGCTGAATTTCTTTGCATTATACCACAATAAATTTTTACCAAGATCATGCATTCACTAAAAGCAAAGTTGATTTGTGGACATCTGAAGGAAAAAGCTGGGACAAGCAAGCAAATTGGAATGACCTACTTGTTCAAATTTTCCCATTGGTAAGGACAATGTCTTACTAATACTTTTGTACCTGCTGACAGTCAGAGTTCAAATGTTGAATCTGTAGCTCACTGACACTACATGTTCTGTTGTATTCAATGGCAAATATCATTTCTTGTGCCTGTTACTTGAAAAACCATTAAGACCTTTTTAAAAAATCTGGCTCAAAATAAATGCTTGATTTCTGGGTTCAAAAATTATGAAAACCCTTGGAATGTGTAGAAAGGCCAGTGTTGCAAGTGTCATCTAATGAACATTACTCTAAGGTCGTGTTTATTCTCACAAATACCACAGCTCTTCAGAAAGGCAACAGAAATATGCATGTAATGCTTCAGCAATAACGCAAATTATGATCTATACTCACTGCAGCCATGATATCTTTTAGAATTAACTCCTATCAGGACTCCTCATCTTCACAGCTCTGAAGGCTGCAAACATTGCACCTTTTCACGACTTTAACCATACCAAAAAAAGAAGTGCCATCTCACTGTAATAATGCTGTCTTAATTATGTACAATACTTAGCACTAGTTTTACACCAGATGAGTCATAGTAGAAGCTTGTACTTTACTGTTTGACTAAATCCCACAGCAGTTAGAAGTCCCTGCAGTGAGTGCTTACCAGCTTGTGCTTAGCTCTTTTCTCAGACCATGTCTGCTGAATCCTTTGGGGAAGGCTGGTTTGGAGGGTGCTGCACTAGGATGAACAGACCCTGTGGTTGGAAATAAGGTCTCAGAGTCAGTGAGAACATGCCAGAGAAATGTCTCCAAAGCTGCTCAGGTGCCTCTGCTTCTCCAGTCACATCCATTTTAGTGAACTGGGATTCTAAAAATGATAGACCTGGGTTTCATTCCTTTCTTTTTAAAAGCAGTTTATCTTCTGAGTAGAAAGATGTTCCTTTTTTGCCATTTTGTGCTGTTTGTTGTGGCAATTAAGATGATGCCAAACAGGTAACTGAAATGCAGTTATTTATGGAATCCCTCTTCACTTATCTTACACCATCTACTCTTTTACTGCTAAAAATAATCCCACAGAAGCAGATACATATCATTTTATAAAAAATTTTTACCACTGGGGTTTTTAACAAGACAGCATGATCTGCTGGGCACTTCTTCATTTGTGCAGATTTTTTCTCCTTCCTGAATTTTGGAGCTTGATGAGATCAGTGAAATTTCCTGGTAGGCACAGGATCTTTTTCCAGGTCCTCTTAATTGCTGGTGCCTTGGAGAATACTGGCTATTCTCAAGTCAGATGTTACTTTGACAGTTCAGTTTTCTTCATCTGAAACATAAGAATAATACCCCTTTTGAGCCTTCATAAATGGTGCTGGAAACTTCAAAGGAAAAACACTTTTAGATAGATTTTAAAAAAAATGTTAAAGAGCAGATGGACTTGTAGCTGAATATACTGCAGTCTTCATTCACAGTCAGCAGGAGAGATAGGTTCCAGCCTCTTTGAATCTCTGTTTGGAAGACCATGCAGGAACTTTAATGTCAGACATTGTGAAAAATTGGTCCCATCTGCCTCCCCTCCTTCACCCAACAGATACACAGAGAGCCTAAGTACCTGGCTATCACAGATCACTGGGAACACTGCTGAAGCCTCTCTCTATGCAAATGACATATATTCTACTCATTAAACATCCCTGTAATGAATGCCCTGCTATGGCAACTTCCAAGAGACTCTTGATTAATTGGAAGAAGCAAAACACTTCATGTTGAAGTAACAGCTGGTTATGGTACTTACCAGTATCAGCTGATAGTCGAAAGACATATACTTCACCAGGAAGCTTTCACTCCTGCACATTATTTAAAAAGAAGTTGGGCTTTTTGCAAAATTGGTACCTCTAAACTGAGGTCTATTACATTTGGCTAGTAGGATCCTTCTAGTAAACAGTCAGTGTTTTTTCAAAGTCTTACAAAAAACTGCCCAGAAGAAAACCCAAGGAGTGGTGTGCATGCCACACTATTGTGTGATGCAAAAAGGATGCATCCAAATGAAAGGACAAACAAATCTTTGTTCTAACAAAAATATTTCATTTCCATTTTAGCTAGGAATGCACTAAATAATGCATCATGCCTCAGCTACTTGAAAGGTCACCTTTTGGTCTGCAAGCAGCTGCAGCAGCTGTGTTCCTTTGAGACCCTGCTCTGAGTACAGAACAAAGCGTGAGAGCTGACAACAAGCTTGGGAGATGCAGGTATGGGACAGGCTTTTGGAGGCCTCCCAGGAGCTACAGTTGAGAACCACTGCCAAATTTCCTTTCTCTTATTTTTTACTTCAATCTCAAATAACCTCCTTCCTTTCCCTCCCTTTCTAAGTAAATTAGTCATATGCAAAATATGAGAAAATTAACAGCCAACTCAGATTTTGACACCATGCAGAGACAAGTATCCATGGAGATTAGGGACCTCCTGTTCACTGATTTCCCATCACATTTGACAGGAAGGTACAACAAACAGAACAAACTAGTCCCCAGAAAGGCACTCCATGAGGCAGAGTTCAGCTTAGAGGGTACCGAGCCTGTTATTCCCAAACTATAATGCAGGCAAGACCCACAGCTGCTTTAGATATATCCCTCATATTTGAGGCTTTCATCCCATAAATCCGGGTGGAAGAAATTGATTGATTCTCACATATTATCTCATTATCAGAAACTCAGATATGAGTTTTGCAGCTGGGAATCACTTCAGCTTTCTAGACTGGAGTGTTGGTTATAACATACAGACCTTAGTTTGGAGACAGTAATTTTGAAGGGGAAAGATAATCTGTGTCTATTCTCATCCAGTTCAGAATCTGTCCTCCTAACAGGTAGGTCAGAGTGGTACAGGGTAGATGCCCTGATCAGACCTGACTTTGACAGGATGGTGGAGGAAGCAACACGTTTTTCTGGTAGGACTTTCGCAGTTGTATTTTCTGTAGATCTAATCCTGTTCCATTTCCTGAATGCCTAGATCAAAATTGCCTACAACCAGAATAGTTTTTTGCTTCAAATTAAATCAAACTAGCAAGGAGAGAAATAACAACTACAGGGGAAACAAACAAGAGTTTAAATCACTGTAAAGGCTATCTTGCATTGATGCATAGAATTTTCTTCTAGACTACACCCTGGGGAAAACTTTATTTTTAAAGGTTATACACACAATAACATACATCTAACCATATGTACCACTCATCTTTCCTTATCCAGAAAAACAAGCAAATCATAAAAAGAGATGGGGAAAAAAACACCAACAAACCAAACCAAACCATCTAATGCACAAGCATTGAATTAAGTATTAGAATCCCAGTGCTTAGGCATTCCTTAGCACATCCAGATGTGCTTTCATCTCCTCCACTCACTCACTTATCAAGATTGCATCAGACGTCCATGGAAACCCTCTGAGCTCTGTGATTCCTGTCCTTGATCCTGGGTGATGAAGAATTCATTAATGCCAGCTGCCATTATTAACTTCTCCCCACTGCAGTGGCTCAGTGTCCCCCCCTACCAGCACAAAACCCATGCCATGTGGCAAGGCTGTGTGGTTAAGCAGGCTGCCAGCCTTGGAGCCACAATGGGCACAGCAAGGTGGCAGCCATCAAAAGACAGAAAAGAGAGCAAGGGCCCATGGGGCTCTTCAAATAAGTTGTCAAGAAAATTTTAAATTTGCACTTAAAAACCAAAAAAGCAGAATACTGCAGAGCAACTAAATTCACCATAAGCTGCTCTTTACAAGCTGGAGGCAACAGCAGGAGTATTCAGTCAGCCTGATCAGACTGAAGCCTCCTGCTTGCTCATGTGCCTCTTTGGCACTGGCACATGAGGGCCATGAACAGCATGTCCTACAAGTCAGGAGAGAGCCCCATTGCTTCTGACAGCAGCAGCCATCGTAACTCTTTTCCAGCCATGTTACCATCAGGTATGGGATATTACTGGAGTTCAGTCTGCATCAGCAGACATAGATACAACTTATACTCAACCCATCATTTAGTAGACACTTCAAATGGGGCCAGGATATCACTGGCATCACTTAGATCATCCGGCCAAGCCCAAGCTGCCTTGGTCTACATAAAACAAAGAGTAAAGAGAACAAGTCTATTATCAGAAGGTTTAAGTTTGTTCAGCAGGAGCACACACCTCCTTTGCAAAACAACTGTGAATCTGGAAAGTAGAAAAGGCTAAAGGCACAGACCAGTCAAGCACCATGTATTTAAAATATGTGATCCCAAAAATAATGGAGCTAGATTTCTAGCTTTTGAGCTAGAAATCCAAGCCAGAAAGTGATAGCAGGCCCCTGGACAGACAACAATCCAGGGTTTAATTCTGGACCTACAAACAACTAAATAAGTGCTCATACTAATGGCAAGAGAATGGGAACACGCAGCCTTTGCACTCTGTGCCTTTTCTTCCAGTGCTAAAAAGCCATGTGCTCTGGACTTCCATAGGATGATTTTAGAGTCTTTAATGCAATATGAATTCACCAAAGCACTTGATATCATTTCAGCTGTTCTAAGTCACGTCCTTGGACTGCCTCTAAAAAAGTCATCCTATCTTCACTGACAGTGTGGGCAGCCTGGTAAGAGGAGGTTTCCAGTGCAGACTCCTGCATAACGTGCTTCAATTCAAGCAGTGACAATATTGCTCCTGCCCCCTCACCCTTCCACCCCTGTTCTTCCCCCCGTGGCTAATGACATGTTTTACTTTGGCAGAGCAAACTATGCCAAATAAGTAAAAACAGCCATGAGAGTGGAGTAAGAGTGCATCTCTGGGAGCAAAGCAGCCTTTTCTCAGCTTCATTGGTGCAAGACCAAGCAAGCATCAATGTGCTCCATCCCATCTCCAGGCCACCATGGGCAGGAGAGCCCAGCCCAGCAGCTGGACTGCAGTCCCCCACTGCTGCAGTGAGCTTTACCCTTCACAAGGTATCTGCTGGGCAATTAAGATATAACTGCATTAATTTTTTGTCTCTTGAGCATATTTTCAGAGTTGCCCCCTTTGACTTAAGTATTTAATGAGTTGCAACCCAGTTAACACATTTGCACACACTCCCAGACACAAAAACATACAGAGTTGCTTACATATGGCTTTCCTTACAGTTCTGATAATCTTGGTAATTTATTCAGTTTGGCAAAGTTTGAGTGTTTTTCCATTTCCTCTGCAGAAGGGGAGCAATGTGATTGTTGCTGTGGTGAGCCTTCCCTTAATAGTTTTAGCCATAATCTGACTTAAAGTCATGACTGGCAGTGGAAAGTGTCATTTTTTTAAAGCACAATACCAAAACATTTCTGAAGAGCCTTTTATTTTTCACACTGAATATTACATATATATATAAAAATATATGTGTGTATATATATATATGTATATATATATGTATATATATATATATGTATTCCTTGAAATTCACATTGATAAATGTAAACATGTAGATATTCCTTTATCATAAACAGACCTGAATTTGGCCTTTCTTTTGTAAGCCTTGTTCTCCTCCACCCACTTGGGCTAAAACTTCACAGTCAGAACCTCTGTTCATTATGTTATGCTTTCAGAAAGGGACTAACTTACTTAGACACATCAATGCTGACATTAAGAGCAGTTGCTTGTCTAATGCCCCCAGGCACTGGGAATAAAAATCTACCCCCTTCCCTGTTACTGAGGTTAATGACTTCTCTGTTCTAAGAGAAAGGGAGGAAAGCAATTTCATGTTTTTCCTTCTTTTAAGAGGTTGCAGAGCCAGCAATCCTCTCAGCACTGAGAGGACAGCAAATTTCAGCTCCCTACCTTCATTTATGCCTTGATCAATGAAGCTGTTGATAGAGAATACCGTGACACTCATTGAGGAAAGGACAAACCTGATGGAAACGGTGATGCTATTCCCATTTGTAGTATGGACTGTAGGCATATCCCTGCAGGGTTCTACCAAAGCAAGGGTGGTAGCACCACCCCACCAAACCTAGAGCTCTGCTGCTGCATGGCAGTGGTGCAGAGCACACAAGGAGCTGAGGTGGAGGTACAGCCCTCAGGTGTCCTGTGCTTGTGTCCTTCCCTTCATTCCAAATAGGAAACCTGAGAGGACTGGGAATGGATGTGTTCTGAAAGCCTCAAAACTTTTATTACATTGCTTTTCCATAACCTGTTTCACAGGGAGTGAAATTCTTAACATTGAATTACCCCATGGGACTAACTAGAGAAAAGGATGCCATGAAGGATGGATGAAAA